CAGTTTGGTGTTGACCCAAGTAAATGTAAGCAATTTATTTATTTATTTTACTTTCTTTTTTGAAAATTTGATACTGTCAATGGGTGAAATTCTGAAACTTGACAATAAGACATAATAGCATGTGAGAAACATCAACTACTTGTGAGATGCATCTTAGCCATTGCATTACCATTAGTGGAGAGAAATAGAGGAGGGGAAGAATGGGCGGGGAGGGATAAGGAGAAGTAAGACTGGTAATCTCAGAGGACGAAAGTGGAAAACTGGAGGGGTGAGTGAGGCATCCACCTAGATCCACCATTTCAAATACATCCTAATGGTTTATTTACTGAGCAGGAAGGAAGATGGAAATGCGGTGACTTGTATTTTTACTCCTTGACCTTGTCAGATTAGATTTTGGTAATGTTAAATACATCAGTAGTTTCCCTTTTCCATTGCCTTCTGTGTGCCATACTAAAATCAGGAGGGAAAGCAAACTCTCCATCCATACTATCCAATCCATTTTTCTTATTTTCCTTCCTTTGTGGTAAATACTGTGTCAGAAAAGATAACTCTTCTCTCCATCAAGGTTCCCCAATTCGACTATCAGCTTACCTCTAAATGGGAAAATGACTACCCATTCTACTAGCATTTTTCAGACAATTCTAGTTCCATTTTAAAGTTCCTTTGGCCTGACGTGTGGATGAATCACATTGGCCATATGCAACTTTCATTAAATTGAAAAACTTTAGAGGGCCTGATGCTGATGTTATTGTCCAGTATTTTGCATCCACTTGAGGATTTGAGAGCACCTCAACATGATATCAAATGACATAACTCTATATCATGATAATCCATAGTATTGTTACTTACGGTTTTACCTACTCTTCCCCTCTTTCCTGCAGACAAATTCACTGTATTGTCTTTTCTTGAGGCACTTGAGGATTCGGTTTCGAAGGCTTCAGAGTCTGATGAGTCGAGGCAAGACAACAAGGATTTAAGATCTGAATCTTGTAATCGTAATGATCCCATGGATGAGTCCAAGTAGTGGAGACACTTGTTTTTATGCGTTTCTATTCATTTATCCTCCTTTCGTTTATAGGACTTTTATCCAGTCTTCTTGTAACACTGTATACATCGTTGGTTCAAGAAAAGGAAAAGATGCAACAAGAAATGGGAAAGTGTTGAAGATTTATTTAGGGTTCCTACTATTTCGTACACAGATCAATAAATATCTTAAAGGTTTCGTATTTTTTCCTTGTACATGTTGAATCGGTCATAATACTTTAACGTCAAAGTTAACAACGTAACATGTCAAACTATTGGAGTTGGCATTGGAGGTTAATGTGCCAACGTAGAATTGTTTGATTGATTGTTTTTTCAGTAAGATACGACTGCCATGGCTGCAACCTCCATGGTGATCAAGTTTATTTGTTGTATTTTCTTCAATTGAACGTGTATATGTAATTTTGCAAAAGGTTGGGTGTCCAGGGAAATCGAATGTGTCTAGAAAAAAGCTTGGGTGGAAATAAAATCAGTCAAACGAAAAGAAACTTAGGCTTTTCACATATAGAGAAAAATCTTTCAAGTTCAATATTTTAGAGAAATCTCCTGTGAAAAGCTAATACACACTAAGGACCAGTTTGATATTGTTGTGTTGTGAAAATAATTGATGTTAGATTTGTTGTGAAAGAAATTAGTTGTGAAAGAAAGTAGTTTGGCGTCAGGTAAACTTTTTGTTAAAAGTGATGTTGGTACAATAATCAGTTTTCCGAGTGTTTGGTAAATTTTGGTGTGAAAGTGTTGTTAGCCATGTATAATGACTAAAAAGGGCACTATGTTGAAATGACTTTTCTATTCAAGTGTTGGGCAAAAAAAAAAATATTTACTTTCACTTTCTCTTACATATTTTTTGTGTGAAGTACGTTTCCATCACACCTAGAGGTGGGCACAGTCCGAATTGGATCGGTTTCACCTTAAAATCACGGCCGAACCAATTAGAATATGACGGTATGGCGATTTGGTTAGGCCGTTTTGGGCCTCTAACCCCAATTCACTTTCTTTTTGCATTTTTTCAATATTGTTAGCGCAACTATAATTAACAAATTCATAACTTTCTTCATACATAATTCATTTTTTAGAGTACGAAACCATCCTAAATATCAAAATGTCATAAAATTTTATATTTCATTTACTAATATAGCTCAATTCAAATATAGTTATTAACTAATTAGAGTATTACACATGTAAAATAAAATGTAAATAAATAAATATACACATAAACGATCCGGTTTGGTTTAGGCCGGTTTAGAAAAGCTCAAAACCAAACCAAACCAAACCATATACGGTCCGGTTCGATTTTTAAACAATTTGACTTTTTCTTGGTCAAAACCAAACCAAACCGGTAATTATGGTTTAGTTCGGCCGGCTTCATCGGTTCCGCCGGATTGATGCCCACCCCTAATCACACCTTAAAAATTATTTAATCATAAAACAAATAAAGTATCATATCAAAAATATAGTGTCAATAATATGGTCTTAACAAAAATTAAGCTAGTCATAAACAATGAATCATATACAATTTCTAAGTAGATGAACTCATTAAACTGACAACTATATGATTTCTCAATGCCTCCATTTTTTGTGCTACTGGACCATCTTCTTGGTATATGCATCAACCTCTCTCTCAATCTCTTCACCTTGGATGTCATTTAGGCCATCTTCACTTGAAAAAAAATCATATATAGCAGAAATCAAGCTGTCATCCTCCTATGTTCACTCAGTGAAATCACACAAAACATTTTCATTTGACATGTACACTACTGTATAAAACAAGAAACAGCTATATGAAACAAAGACATGGTGAATAGTTATTAATTCTTCTAGCTGTGATGTGAGTCATTGAAAGAACACTGAGATATATAACAAAACAAAGAGAAGAAGAAGAGAATCAGACAACTAGACAAATTAACAAATTAAAGGTCAGGTTTTTATTTTATATTTTTTAAAATTACGAGTTTACCTTTAATTTGGATGGAAATATGGATAGAATTTAAATAATAAAAATTGGCGGCAGGTCCTCAATTGACGATATTTAAACAATTGGAAATTTACCGAAAAAATTGTTAAGAGCTAAAATGACAATATGCAAATAGTTCAGGGGCAAAACTGCAGAAAACCCTTTAAAAAAAAGTGGATGTGTACCCGCCAAAAAGACTCTGAATGAAGTCGCCCTTTCGTGTCCTTCCTCCTCCAAAAATAAGAAGGCATAGAAAATTCACAGGGCACAGAGAGGAGAGAGCGAGAGAGACGCAATGCCTGAACGAGACGAGAGAGACTCTCTCTCTAACGCCAGGATATTTTCTTCTCATTCTGTGAGGAAACGAGAAATTCGACGAGTACGACCTGGAGAAGCAGCGCGACCCAACCCTTACCGCGACAATGCCTTTGCTCGTCTCTACGGTGGCGTCAAGGACAAAATCTAAGCTGCTCTTCAGGTTTGTTTGAATCTCTTCTGTTCTTCATTCCATTGTTTCTGTTTGGTTGCCGAGAAAATGTAGCAAGGGAGAGACAGGGGAAACTGAAAGATTTGAGTGCCTGGTGTTTGATTGTGTGCTGAAATGTGCAGAAAGCTGAGATGGGTGAGTAATCGGGCTGTGCAGATTCAGCAGACCAAAGCTTGATTGGTGGAGGAAGTTCCTAACCTGCCGAAATTGGCTCAAGAAAAGGTTTATCAAATCCTCTGTTTTTTAAATTTAAATTTTAAAATTTATGTATTTTTAATTAAGCTTGAATTTAGGAAATACGATTGGATATGATTTGGTGGCTGTGGGTCACCAATTAGGCTTTTTCTCCAATTGTTTCTTGGTTTTGGAAAAGTGGTGTGGATTGGGCCTCTGTCGCTCTCTGTCTATCCATGATGCACAACAAGAGTGTTGTTCTTGTAGTACTAGACTAGAAAAAGGATAACTGTAGAAGAATCTGGAAGGAACTAGACTAGGAAGTCCAATTGGCATTTCCTCTTTCTTATACAAGTTTAATTCTGAAATAATTAAGAATAGTTGGAGAAGTTTTACACACCTGACAGAATGTTGACAATTGGAAGATATCTTACTGATTTAGATAAACTTTTGGCATATATATGTATATTTGACCCATGCTAGAATATCATATTTAAGCGGCCGTCTAATTTAATTGAATGGAGATCGAAAATCCATGGATGCATACATCAATAGTTGTACCTAACATCTGATTTTTCATAAGATTTGAAAACAAGCAGTTGTGCGTGTTCTGCGTTGTGCTTAACAAAAATTGTTGGGAGCATTCCTATCAGTCACTTATCAAAGCTATAGTTGTTTAACCATTGTTGCAAATGCAATTGGAGCCTGCAAGCATGTTTGCAATTGTAAATGTATTTATGTATGTAAAGTATGTTGGAGAACCTTGCAGCCATGCTTGCACATGTGTAGTTGGTGCCCGGGGATCAAATTCTAGTAGGAGAGTGCTGCTAACAGCAAATCAGGTCAGTGCGGTGTCTATTTATCATTTCTGTTATCGTAGCTTGAGCAGGAGTAGAAATTCATAAACGGTCAAATTTATAGAGAACGTGCACTTCAACTTTGATGCCTTAAGACTGAACTTGTTAGCATTAGAAAATTTAATGGTGCATAGTTCTTCGGGTAATATATTCATTTTCCATTTCTTGTGATAACTATAGCTAGAGTTTAGTTAGGCAATGAATCTGGCCTTCTTCATATTCTTCTACTTGTGCTACAGAACATATCTGCTCAGCTTCAAATTCCAAAGCCCCATGACAATGAACCTTAGGTAATTAGAAAAACTCATCATTACCACCTGGGTGGGATTCAAATACTGGTTTTCGTAGCGTTCTTACTGCGCTTTTTTCTTGCATATGAGACAACAACACCTGACATGGAAAGAAAGTGAGACTGCTTCACCTGAAACTGTTGAAGTAGTCAAAGAAGAGGCAAGTTCTTCTGGTAGTGTCTTAATATCATAGGATGATCAGTCAAGCAGCTATCATAATGTCAATGAACTGAATGGGGCAGAAGCTGATCTGTTTAAACCTATGACCTGTGAAGGCAACCAAATTTCTGATGAGGATCAAATGATCTGGGAAAACACGGGTAGTTTCACCAAGGAATGTCAAGTTTCTGAAGAGATCCGGAACTACAGTTCTGTGAAGGTTGCAGATGTCAGTCCAAAGGTCCAAAATTCTAGTGCATCTGAATTGAAAAGGTCTGATGCTTTGTCTGACTCTAGATTTAAAAACCGAGCAAAATATGATGGTAGTAGATTTAACACAAAGAGTAGGAAATCACATGTGGAAGATGTACAAATGCTGGCTTTAGGTGGAAGGACTATAGATGAAATGAGTGATGTTGACCTGAGCACTTCAGCTCCAGAAAATTGTCAACTGGTGATAACTGATTGGGGAAACGAAAAACCTGAAGAGCTAGACCTTCCAAATTCCTGCTATGTTGGAGAACAGGTTTTCCAGGAAAATAAATTGCACTTAAATGATTGTGTGTTTTGGATGGATTCAGTATTTTCCCGGAAGAATCCCAGCAGAAAAATGTTCTTTAATGTGTTGATTCGAAAGAACCAGAAGGAACTGGTGCTGCAGAAGTGAATCCGAAGTTTCCAGAACCCTTTCTCTAATACCACATGGTATGCTAGATTTCAGTTATAATGTTGCAGAAATATCGGAGTCCCAGAATGTGGATAATACTGCATCAGTACCTGAAAACAATGAAACAGCGGTTGAGAGTTACAACCTGGACTCACAGTCAAGAAATGACTTTCAGCTTCATTGTCAAGACTGTTCTTTGAAATTGGATAGTGTGGGAGATTTCACGTCCAAGCTAAACGAGAAAGTTCAAGTTGAGGGTGGCTCTGCGATAAAAGACGTAATTGAGCCCAAAGATTTCGGAACCAAAGATTGCAACTCACCTGTTGAAAGTTGCTCTGGTGTCCCTCAGTTACAGACTGAAGATGACAAAAGCTATTGCCAGCAAGATACTTGAGTAGAGCAGAATAATTTGAAGAGTGATAAAATCAATCTCAGTTGAGATATTGGTGTCATACGAGAGTAGCAGGATATTAATCCCGGATCTTGTTTGAATGGAACCTTGCTTGCAAACAACGCTTCCTGCAAGGTTTCAGGGAAACTGTTCATGAGGTTGATTTAGATGACTGATGCCTGTGGAAATGAATCAAAGAGTACCAAAGTAGCAGCAGCAATGCATGATGGCAGACCTGATTTGGACGAAAGGGCTGACTACTTAAAAATGGAAGTTGCAGTGACCAGCTCTTTCAAGATTGAACCATCATCAGAAAACTTC